AGGCGGTAGTCCGCAATCCTTCATTCCGGTAGGCAATCAGAGTGTCGTACTCCTAGCCACATGTGCTTTGCAGACATAAATCGGCATGACAACTCCTAATTGCCATTGTCTCATTCGCCTGCCCGCTTTAGGAAGGTACGCGTGCTTCATCGCGCCACGTGATTCTTTGTTTCGATTTTTACTGGTTGTCCTTAACGTGGGCAAATGTGTAGGATTTATGAAGAGCTATCGAACGGGGCTATGTAATATGGAAATGATTTGGAACTGGCTTGATTCTGACGTTCAGTCGTTCACTAGACAAATGGCAATTGAGCAGCCTCTCCTTTCCATAAGACGTTTGCCTAGCTGAAAGTACAGCGATTGTTTCAAACCGTAAGCCTCTCACAACCTTGGCAAGCAAGAACGTCATAATCAACCATGATGAGGAGTTGGAGGCGGTTGACCGTTGCTGACTGGGTTTCTTGGTGAAACAACGGGTGAGAATGCATTCCTTGAACTGATCAGCGGCATTCTCCTACATGGCTTATATTTTGTTAACTTTGCAGCAGTAGTGAATGCAAAGAGGGGTACTTCAGACATCTGTGATATTTCTGTTCTGTAGCTCGTTGTTCCGACATCTGCAAGTCTCCGAATCGTTGATTTGGAAAGATAGAGGAACGATCATCAGTTGAGTATGTGTGCGTCGTAGGCATTTCATAGATTCTATTCTCGTAATTGCAGTAGATCCAGGATTAATGAAAACAGAAGCTTGACATAGGACTTACTTAAAGCAAGCGTTCAGGTTGACTGAACTATGAATAGCAACAAGCAACGTTAATGAATAAGGAAGATTGATCAGTGCCAGTTGCTGCAGTCATCAGGGGTCATTGTATCAGTCAAACTTTATGAGCAAAATAAATAGTGATTGGAGATTTTCGACGCTTGGTCCGAGACTAAAGCTGTAGATGACTTGTCGTAGTTGATTGCACCAAAGGACGTTGCTGACGTTATCAATATATTGGCAATGAGTTTCATCAGGGCACAGCTGATATGATTTTTAGTAAGCCTTCATATGCGTACAAAACAGATCGATGTAAAGTGAGCGA